AAAACAAAAAATTAAAACATTCTATCTATTTATATATTTTTAATATAAACTTGATTAATGGATTAAAATATGCTAATGGTTTTTTCAATGTTTACTGTTTTACACAAGAAAACATTAAGCCTATTTCCAATGTAATAGTTTGGTAATAATACACTAGTAATGTTATCTTAACTACTATTTTATTTGCAACATTTTACTACCTGAAAGAAAATGTAGAATCTTACCTCACCTAAGTGGAGAGCTAACTTCAAACCTGCATTCTTAGCACAAGAAAGAACTGGAATGAAGCTACAAGCATCACCCGCCTATGTAAAATCCATTTATAAACCGTTATTAGAAAAATTAAAATAAAATATGCTTGAAGATACTTTCACAGTTATGATTTCCCTATAGAATAAAATAGTTTTATGTGCTGTTCCTTCCATCTGTAGTTCAGACATCATAAATTTGTCAGCTTTATCAAGTTTGCTTTGATTATTCTCTTCATTCAAAATCTTATTTGTATTTGTAATAACACATGTATCAAAAGTTACTTTCTTCAGACTTCACCTGATTGCTGATAACAAAACTTTGAATTTATAATGATCAGAACACCAATTCTAAAATATTTGCTAATGTTAAAATAAAATAATTGTAAAAAGTTCCTCTATATCAATAAAACCTGAAACTAACTTCACTCAAAGCTTCCCAATACAAAATAACGTAAAGTATGTGAATATTAAAGAAAACATTTAAAGTTTTTCAATATTTAATAACAGGTAGGACAAGTTATAAACCTAATCATATGCTCAAAAGATAAAGATCTAGCAGCTTCAAATGTGAGAAGCATGAATGGTTAGTTTTATAAGATTAAACCACACAGTGAAAAGGAAAAGTTAACCAAATTTATTATTTTATCAACCCAAACAGAAATGCAGCATTGGTAAAAGTGACCATAGCAGATAGGAAAGTTAATGTGAAAAAACAAAAGGTAAATTAAAAAGGAAAAAAGATCAGATACAAAATTCAGTAAAAGCTAAGCACAATGAACATTTAGAGTCAATGGAAAAGGCCAAAAAACCAATAAATCTGTGGCAGAAGGACATGAAAGAACAGCATTAGCTTAATACAAGCATATAAGATACTAAGCCATGTAGAAAAAGAAAAGAGAGAGAGATGGAAAAATCTAAAAGAAAAAGTGGATACAAAGAATACTGAAATGAGTAAAAATACTGACTAATGGATATAAGTTAAACTAAACACAGGAAATAAATGATTATGAAATAATAAAGAAAAAGAGTTGTCAACAACTAAAAATGAATAGATGGACTGGAAAAAGAAACAAGATAATAGAATGAAAAATGTATCTATGGAATTAGCCACATTTTACCATAATTGTGGAAGAGAAGGAAAAGTGGAGAAAGAAATATATAAAAACGACACAAGCAATTACTTTTAGGTTAATATTTTGATAAATGTTATTTACAGTCAATAAAAACAAGTTTCATAAGTTCAAATATAATATTATACTTCTACTACAGCCTTGAGCTACAAGTCTTAGTTGACACAAAGAAATATGCAGAAGTTTCTACTTCTTCCTATCCTACAAAAATCCCTAAATAACAATGTGTCTTCAGACGATTAGTGTCTTCCTACCAACATACTCATGGGCCAATTACCTCCCATCACATGTTACTACCTCTATCTGCATTTTTTACTTGGATACAATACTATATATGAACAAATCTTTCTTCTCTTGGTACACTGAGTTATGTTTGTCTTGATTTAAAATAGGTTTTCACATTTATTTTTCCTCTATTCATTGTTCTTTGTTTTTTCGTGTTTTGCTCAGATATGAATTTGGATTTCATATTACTAAAGAGGAGATTGCATTTCTTCAAGTTTCACTGAGCTTTCTCTTCTGATTTTAACATTTGATGGGTGCAGCTTTAACTTTCTCATGTCATCCTGCTAGTCTTGATGATAGTTCTAACGGTTGCTTCTCCAGTTTTATTGATGAGACTGGTACTAAGGATGGTAAAGGAGTTTTCTGACTCACACCACGGGAGTTAAAGCATTTTCCTTCTTCAGATTCAACAGGCACTTATTTCTTTGGTCTTTGGGGAATTAACCCTTTAATCTCTTTATGTGTCTATATCCTCTGAATCAACAGAGTTTGCTATTAATACCATTAGGATGTTTGGATTTCCTCTTTTTCCAAATATTTTTCTGTAGTCTGAGCTTTTTCAGTTGCATTTGGAAGATTCCAGAGGATTGTTTTTCCATATTGTGATTGTAATTCTTGTAAGTTATATTATTTCATTGTTCTATATCTGGTGAATATTAGTGTTTCTCAGCAGAAGCCTACTACCTTATTTCCTTCAAATGTTTATTTTTCTTGTTTCTCAAATGATGTTTTTTAATTTTCTACAGGATTTATGGTCTTCCCAGGTTTTAATTATTCTGTGCAGCTAATAATCATTGTGGTGATAAGTTCATATTTTGCTGATTTAGCTTCTTGAGAGTTTACCTTTGTTATTGGAGTGTCTTCCTACAATGTCTAAAGCTGTGAGATTGCATTCCTGGTAATTCTGTTTGTGAGAATCATTACTATGGGGTGTTTCTGTTCCTTCTATATTTATGCATTGAGTTGCAGCTTGCTCTTATTTTTATGGATTATGTTCTTGCTAATGTTTCTAACAAAACAATGGAGTCTAAAGTAATTGTTTCTTTAAGCATTACTTTGTTATGAGTGTCTTGAACACCCTGCATCATTTTTCTTTGTTTTTCATATGTTGTTCAGATATGAGTTTGGATTTTCATGTTTCAAGCTTCTCATTTACACTTTGTGGCCTCCAACTTTTTCATTCTTCCACCTTTTGTGCCTCCCAGTCAGACAGGAGCTTCTACTGTCCAATTACTCTTATCTATTCCAAAGTTCTAAAAAATGGATCACGAAAGTATTCAGCATTCTGCAGGAATTTTTAATTGCATTCCTTTTATTAATTTGTGTCTCAAATCTGTGGTACCTCAAATCATGTGTATGTTAGGGGAAGTTCATAGGTTTGAAAAACCTATTCATTCTAGATGAAATAATTGTCATCTGAGTTAGAAGCTCTGCTATCTCACTTTTTGGTTTAAGATTCTTGTCGGGTTTGTTTATCAGCATCTGACAAGTAGCCCTCTGTAGCTCTTCCAAGTTTTACCTCATCAGTTTTTCACCTTGTTGTGCTTATTAGTGCAACAGTCTAAATCCCTTGGAAATGCCTCATTACTTTACCAGACATTATTTACACTATATTTAAGTGACTTCTGTAACAATTTCACCTACCCCCTTTTGTAATGGCCCTGAGTCATCCTCATCATATTTACTAAGGTGAGTGCTTTTTGAATTGTATCTAATGTCCCCTAAAAATAAATGATGGGACAGCAGTAACATCAGGCCTCTACACTGCTGTGACAGAGTTCAATGTAGTGGAGCCCCATTTAACCATACCAAACCTTGATGATAGGAAGCTTACTCTCCATTGCACTTGGGTTGGAATTTTTAATTCCACAGCACTACTCTTATGGTGGTATTTATCATTCATAAAGATACAAATCTGCACCCTCCAACATGAATTTTCTTGTTACTGTTAGATCTCAAACATGGCTGATTTCGAATATAGCATTTCATAATAACTGATGAAGATTACTGTTATGAAATATATTTCATTATATACAGATATGACAGCAAATACCCAACATCAAAGTAACGATTGGACAAGGAATGCAAGCAGTAGAGAATCATGGTAAAATTGGTCAAACTACCACTCTGAGCAACAAGAAGAAAACAAAAAGAAGCACAAGTGAACATCACCATTCTGAGAATCTTGGTAAAAATTCATGAAATAAACTTTACACAAAGATATTTAAAGCCATAAAGAATTAAAACTGCAAATAAACAGCCAGGTAACATAAAAACTAACAAAATATCATATAATGATTAACTAAATTAAAATGAACTGAAAATCAAGTTCAACAGCAGCTAGACTACTACATACATGGGCAATTATATTTTGAAAATGACTAGATAATATTCATCCATAAATTAAGACTTCATAAGTTTGTTTCACAAAAGCATGGAGGAGTGAGAAATTAACAGTTCAAAACTGCTTAAAACACACAACTCCATCTAGTCAATTAAGTATTGCCAGTGTCATTTGTAATAGTAAACTGCATAGCTAAAGTAAGGACAAATTGAAACAGTAGCTAGCAAATATCAATAAATCCCTGAGAAATTAAAATATTTCTTATTTAGTGAATAACTAAATATACAAGCTATCAAATGTCTTCCTG